TTCTTTTTTTTCTTTTTTTTGAGAGAGCTCAACCTATCACCCTGGGTAGAGTGCCATGGCATCACAGCTCACAGCAACCTCAAACTCCCGGGCTTAAGTGATTCTCTTGCCTCAGCCTCTCAAGTAGGTGGGACCACAGGTGCCCACCACAACGCCCAGCTATTTTTTGGTTGCAGTTGTCATTGTTGTTTTGCAGGTCCAGGCTGGATTTGAACCTGCCAGTTCTAATGTATGTGGCTGGTGTCTTAGCCGCTTGAGCCGCAAGTGCCAAGCCGCCTGATGACTTTCATCAGAGATTTTTAACCTGGGTCATGGTTGGGCTTTTTTTTTTAAAGACAGAGTCTTACTTTGTCACCCTCGGTAGAGTGCCATGGTGTCATAGCTCACAGCGACCTCAAACTCCTGAGCTCAAGTGATCCTCTTGCCTAACTTTTTCTATTCTTAGTAAAGGCAAGGTCTCACTCTTGCTCAGTTTGGTCTTGAACTCCTGAGCTCAAGCAATCTACTGGCCTCGGCCTCCCAGAGTGCTAGGATTATAGGCGTGAGCCACAGCACCCGGCCCCATGGGTGGGCTTTGAGGGGGTATCAGTCCTTTCAAAGTGTATCTATAACTTTATGTCTATGCATTTATTGGGGGAAAGGTTTGTATTCTTTTTCAGTGTGTCAATAGAGTTTCACATATTAATTTTAATTTTTTTTTATTGTTGGGGATTCATTGAGGGTTCAAAGAACCAGGTTACACTGCTTGCATTTGTTAAGTAAAGTCCCTCTTATAATTGATAATTGTATTGCACCCCCAAGAGGCGTATCACACACTATGACCCCACTGTGCCTGGCTTGGGCTTTTTTTTTTAGAGACAGAGTCTCAGTTTATCGCCCTCAGTAGAGTGCTGTGGCATCACAGCTCACAGCAACCTCCAGCTCTGAGTTTCACATATTAAGAACCACCAATGCGGGTGGTGCCTGTGGCTCAGTGAGTAGGGTGCCGGTTCCATATACTGAGGGTGGCGGGTTCAAACCCGGCCCTGGCCGAACTGCAACAAAAAACAAGAACCACCAATGCATAGAAAAACATTTCGTGATTCGACGCTGTACAAATGTAAGATTAAAAGAGAACCAACAAACCAAGTCCTTTCCTCACCTGCCAAAGCCCAGGAACCACGGGACACTCTTTCCACAGGGAGCCTGTCCACGATGGGGTTGGTGGGGGGCTGCAGCTGAGAGGCTAACTCATGCGGAGCCTCTGGGAAGGGAACCTTGAGGCCTGGGAGACTGTTCAGGAAAAGGAGTGCCCAGGGAGTTTTCTGACCTGAAGTGAAAATGTGAAGTGAAAGAATCCTGTGCTCACAGCTGGCCCCGCTGCTGCTGCTGTGTTTAGTCATCTCAGAGCTGCAGGCGTGGGAGAGGATAACTATTGAACCTGCAGTGGGAAGCTGAGATTTGATGTCTGACTGGGACCTGGAGACCTAGATTCCAGTCCCTGTCTTGCCACAGAGAGACTGTGGGCAGAGTGACTTCTCCCCTCAGCCTTTCTTTTCTCATCTGCAAAGCAGAAGTGTCAACGGGGTGATTCCCAGTGTCTCCTCCAGGGAACTTGGAATGTTGGATCTCAACACTGATCTCAACCATGTTGGAATCAGACCTCTCTGAATTCAAATCCAACTCGGCAACATATGGGCCGTGTGACTTTGGGCAAGTTACTGCACCTCTCTGATCCTCTGTTTCATGCATTTGTAAACTGGGAGAAATACTACCCATAGCACAATGTTGTGTAGATTAATAATACTTATGTACTAAATTCATAGTGCTGTGCCTGGTTTACAGTAGGTGCCTAATCAAAGACAAAATGCTCAGTAGAGTTAGTTCATAGGATTCTTACAGGATTCTGTGCTCAAGTCATGCTCAACCTTTGTCTGAGAGCTGATGCAGATGGAAAGATCCCCACTTACTCCCAGCTGACACTTTACCA